AAAGCACTAACTCGGTCTTTGTTTTCTCTAATCATTATATTATTAATTCATTGATTATAGGGTGAGACATGGTGGATAAGAGTAATAATACCAATATAATGATAGGGAATTATTTGTTTTAGACAGGTGGAGCCCTTTGTTTCATGTTTGGTAGGCATTGTAGTGTGACTAAAACCTTTTTGAAATGTAGGTTCCCAGCAGAGAACGGGACAGTTTGCTCTCCAGGTGTCAGGATTGGTGTGGTTGGAAAGGTTGGTGGACCCAAATACAGGACGCAGAGCGGAGCAGGTACAGTTCAAAAGGTTTATTTAAACAAACAAAAGGCGAGGACACTTACTGGCAGAGACAAATCCAAAATAAAGTAATCCAAAATCCACAGGAACAAGCAGTGCAAACAAACAAGCTGAATATATCCACAACATATCTGAGCATATACACGCTACAATGACCAGACAGGGACTGAAGAGAAACACCAAACATATATACACCAAGGACTAACGAGCAGGGCAGGAGCAACACAGGTGACAGGGATCAGGGCTAACGAGACAGGTAGTGAGAGAGACAGCCAGGCAGAGGGATACTGGAGGAACAGTCAGAACACGGGTACAGATCAGACGAATATAAATTACAAACGAATACAGACACAAGCAGACATATCACCAATAAATACAACCAACATGGAAAACAGACAAGGGCAAAATAACACAGAAGTACACAGACCAGAAGTAAACACTAAGACATGAACTGAAACACAGAACTAGGAGCTAGGACACAGAGCTGAGATGCAGGGCTAAACCTAAGAGACAAGACAGATACTAAGTAAACTTAAAGATGCGCATGAATAACATAATAGACAAGGCTACACAGAGAACACAAGACCAAGAACTGAAGCTCAAAACAGGAAACATGGAACAACTGACTAACAGAATGAAGTAGGAAACAGAGATGGAACCAACTGGGAAACAGGACAACACTAAACACAGACATAAACTAGGTTACAGGACACTAGACAGACAACAGACAACAGACAAGACAGAACCCCAAAACACAACAGACCAAAATAACAGATAATCAAGTGACCAAAAACTGACAGAGTGCCAAACTAAAACATCGCTGACAGGCAGAATGTGACAGTAGGTAATCTTTTATCCTCAGTCTTACAACACAAAAAAAATGTCCTTTAGTAAATCAGGTGCAAGGAGCTATTATAATAGGTAGAATGAACCTGTCCTTCATTTTTTGGCTCTCTGGCTGACACATAAAATACTTATTCATCAGTTCTAAGGCACTAAATGTTTTGATAAATTACTCTTACTGGCTTTTTACTTGCAAAGCTTTTATGCATCTTAAGTAATAGTAGATAGTACTCACCAAATGTTAAATCTACCTGCATTTGGCACTTGGCAGGTGTTAATTCCAGACAGTGTGTGTAGCAGCGTGCACCCTGGTGTTAGTGTGGACCGGATCAAATACTAGCCACTTGTATAATTTACTAGTAGCCCACTTTGAACAGTATTCTCCACTGGATTTATATGTAATACGGGTCGAAAATAAAAAGTTGTGCGTACAATTCCCCACACTCAACTGTGGCTTGGCAGTTATCAAAAATGTTCCAGCAGGTTGATAGGAAAGTCCAGATTCAGAGCATTGGTTGCAGAAGTTCAGCAAATTTCCCAGCTCAGTAAAGTGAGACCCTGTCGATGATTTTCTTGTATTGCTTTTTTTCTGTCTGGCAGCGGTGCAGAGACGGCTGCCAGAGAGATTGCATCACTGTATTAAGTCATACAGATACTGCAAGAAAAGTAGAGTAAGAGTCTGAAAACTGTGGAAATTCTCTTTATATTTGCTGACAGCACAGCAACTATGCAGTATCTGCTGGATATAACTTAATTAGTCTCGTGTCTGCTCTTATCAAACCTTTAAGTCCTATGAATTCATGATGGAACAACTTTGAACAAAAGCCTGTACTGGAATGCCGTATGGATAAGAGTTTTCTATATCAATAAATCTTTGAAATTGTATTGTTTCATTTGTTAGGGCTGACACAACCTCAGCAGGTGTGTGCATGGTAAACAGGTGTTCAGCATGTAGAGTTTAGCAAAATATAATGCCCAAGGAGATATGATTTAACACAGTTAGATCAGTATGCCTGAATTGCAAACATGCCCACACTGACGTGACAATTGACAGTTTTGTTGGTCACAGTGGATATTGTGTTAGGATCTTGGTTTTGTGTTCTTGTTTTTCTTGTTTTAAGTCTGTTTTAATGGTTTGGGGTTCTGTTTTGCCTTGTTTATTCTCATGTTCATTTGCATGTTCAGTTCAATTCACTTTACCATTTCTGTCTCATTTCCTGTTTTCTTATTTTAGTTCCGATCTTACTGTGTAGTCCTGCTTCGGGGTCTTAAGCCTACTTCACACTACACGATATTAAGCCCGATTTACACGGTTGGTGAGCTCGGTGACCGTCGGGGTGTGATCAGGGGTAAATCAGTGATCAATCAGTGGTCGCCAGTCATTATGCGTGAACTATTCAATGACGCATCAAAACGGCTCCCCGACACATTTCTGACTCCTCCTGTCCTCCCTCCACCCACCCTGATTCAACGTGCCCTGTCGTTCTACCCTGGTTTGATTTTGGACTTTGTCGTTGTTGGGTGGGTATGGACATTCTTTGAGGAAGGGGTACTGTTAGGATTTTGGTTTTGTGTTGATGTTTTCCCTGTTAAGTCTGTTTTAATAGTTTGGGGTTCTGTGTTCTGTGTTTGGATTTAACATCATATTAAAGTAAAGCGTTACTATGTACTTGTTACTTTTCCCAGTAACTAGTAATGTAACGGATTACTTCTCAAAACAGTAATATTATTACGGTTACTAATCCAAGTAACACTGCGTTACTGCGTTACTGAACGCACCATCCATGACGTGAATGCGCAACTGCACTGCAGGTCAGGGGCACCGGACTTTGTTAATGTCCACTGGTAGACAAAAACTACAGGAAGAATTGAGAACGAGGGTGTTAGGCATTCTTTCCACAGCTGTAAGTACCTAGTGCCATTATTGTGACACAGTCTAAGATGCAAAGAACTCTGTCGTCTATTGTAAACTCTGTGCGACCTGCAAAAAGCTATCAACCACAAACAATTCTACATTTCATTTATTGAAGCATCTGCTAAAGCAGCACAGCAACATGAAACTTATAGAAACTCCGGCAGCTCCGTTACTGTAACAATTGGTAAAAATACTGAATACTGCTCTTATAAATACTAGGCTGTACAGAAAAACAGTAGTTCAAAAGTTGGGATTTACTTGCTTTATTTTTTCTATTTCAGCCGGTGGCGTAAAAAACGTTAGGCCTACATGCTTTGGAAAAAAACATACTCCTTGCTGCTGTTATGAATATGATATTAGTTAAAAAGTCGGGAGAGACTGCTTTGTTTGGGGGTGAAGTGAGTGGTATTGAAAGCAGTGTTTCCATAATTAGCCTATAATTTGAATAATTATCAATGCTGACCGCCACATATTGACTTTGTATTTTTTTTACTAGGCGTATTTGATTGAGGAGCTGTTTTGGGCTCTGTATTGAGAAGCATATATTCGTGCAGCACCTCCTCTCGCTCTCTCTCTCTCTCTCATGAATGTTAGCAACAATATTGCCAAAGCTACATATATACATACAATATATTAAATTAAGATAAATAAATAAAACAGTAAGCATGCGTGTGTGTGTGTGTGCGTGTATATATAAAAATATATTAAAATTTAAAACAAATTAAGTAAATGAGCTGGGTTTTCAAAATTAGTGTGTGCTTTTACTGTTTCCTAGTTAGTTAGTTTCAAGAAATGCAGGTACGCCTGGGATGTCTTTTAGCACCACCAACACAGTCCAAACTTCAACCAACACTTTGGTCTGTAACGTTTCCCTTTCCTCCTTTTTATTCAAGTTTGTTTGGCAAATCAACGTGACCATCATTTTTATGTGTTTTAAAGCCTTTCTTTACTTTTCAACAAAGTGGAATCAATCATCCCTGATATGAGGCATAATTTGGCTCATCCAATTGAAAGTAATTTGGCACTTGTAAGGAGAAAGAAGGAATTGAGTCTGCTTCCCTGCATTGGTTTGCCCAATTATGACCAAAACTGATCAGGAGATAAACAAGTCATTTCTGTATCTTTTAGTACACTTGCAACAAAACCTTTCAGTGCCACCATCAGGCCAGAGTTGATTTGAGAATCAGATCACGTCTTGAAACTTTTTGTTTCTCTCTACTGGCACAAAACATTTTGGCCTGTAACCCTTTTTTATGTTTGATACAGTCTGTATTTCTTGGTTTGTTCAAAATCTAATCAAGTGGATATTTATGCTCTAAAACCATTGGGGACATTACTGTTGAGTGGAACATACTCAACATACTCCATTTGCTATGTTACAAAAACAAAGTGGCCAGAATTGACATCCTATTTTCATCAGACAAATTAAAACTTGTTGCTCTTGATGTGACATGTAAGAGTGCAGGAGTTATTATCCCAGAATCACAGGCTCAAATCCATAGTTAAACATTAAATCCTAAATGGCAAAATATATATTCTGAATACAAAGTACAAGGAACAAGGTAAATTTTATTTATTATTTTACAACACAGGGTTGTTTAACATGGTGAAGTTGTAGTTCCCTTTATGCTAAATGATATACACTAGATGGGTGGACGAATAACAAGTCATAGAAATAAACTTATTTTACATAGTGGAGTGCTGAGGATGAATTGAGGAGTCTCACAGCCTGAGGGAAGAAGATCCTCTGAAGTATTGTGGTACGACAGTGGATTCTTCTGTTTCTTATTGCCAGACAGCAGCACGGTGAATAGGGAGTACGGTTTTTACGTGGTATACCTCAAAATTGTGCGACCACTTTTGTGTGTGTGTAGTTTTTTATTTAATTAGCCAGAGATGTATTTTAACATCTATGGGGTATAATGTCATATTAATAATAAAGGAGATAATAAAGTTAATTTATTTTTTATTATTAATCGTGAAGAGAAATAGTAAATCTAAGCAGCACCCAGGTGGGAACTTTTGGTACTGGAGCAGCTGGGCCTGGGTTGCCTCAGGGAGAAACTTCCGCCCCAAACCCCAGATGCAATCTGGAAGACGAACGGAGTGCACCTGTGTATTTTCAATCACAATGCATTTTAAAAAGAATACAAGTTTCTTAAGGCAGTGAGTAAAAAGCTAAAACATTCCTGCAGTTCAGTCAGGCACAGTCGAGTCATTCATTGCATACCATTTAACTGTGACTAAATTTGAGCAAAGTATGAGGCCCGTATCGCCACAATTCTTTCCCCAATAATGAAAAATTTCTCAGTGTGTTAACAAGCCTCACTTGTGTGCTGTATACTAAGCTGGATGTATTTTTGCTTGCTGCTAAATTGCAGCTATATTGTTGTTTTCACTTCACTTTATGTCCAATGCTGTTGTGTTGCGAGACTAATAACTTACTATTGCTTGACTGCTCTGGCCCATTAGGAGGTCTCAGTGTAGCTGTTATTTGTATATCCAGCTGGGCTTAAGGTCTTCATCATTTACGTGAGGACAACTTCAAGTCACTTTAGAGAGGGTTTACTATTTATTTTGCAGATATTTCTTCAGTCTAGCTCAACCGTGCTCCTGTCAACAGAGTAAACAAAGCATGTTTATGATGTTGAACCTCCAGTTACAGCATTTTATTAGCACAAGCAACACAGCTTGATAATTTCATGCTATCACAACTAAATAGTAAGTTATGATTTTACTTAACCTCAACCTCAGTCAACAGTTAGTTTAATATAAAAGAACCATACTATTGTGAAATAGTATACTGTTGTTGTTGCCTTTATTTATTTATTACTGAAGTCTGTTACTGTTTATATGCAATTTATTATATTTGTTTATGTTTTTACTGTTTAGTCTAGTTTCTCTGTCCTGTCTGGGGTGCATTTTTGCTTTTTTGTCTTGCTGCTGTCTCTGAAATACCAAACAGAATTTTGTTGTGGCGATTATAATGACAACACACTTACCTATGTCCTTATGTCCTTAAAGGTCCAGTGTGTAATATTTCTGAGGCACCATCAACAGAAATGCAATATAAGATCCATAACTATGTTTTCTGTGGTGTGTAAAGACCTTACATAATAAACCATGATGTTTTTAACTGCTTAGAATGAGCCATTTATATCTACATAACCACGGGTCCCCCCTTCCATGGACGTCGCCATGTTGCGGCGTCATGTTTCTACAGTAGCTGAAAACGGACAAGCAGCGCTACAGAGCGTATTTCGTCACTACGTTCTAGTAGTAATAATATACAGCAGGGGTCAGCAAATAAATTTTGCATCGGAGCCAGGGTGCATTTAGGGGAATCACGTTCTCTGACTGCTCTTTCAGAGGTGTTTCAAGCAGGCTACAGACTCTTTTGATGTCATTCAGAATTTTTCAAATTAAAAGTTCAGTTCAACTCCAAATACAGCATTACAGTAACTGAGATCTATTTCAACCCCGCTATCAAAGTATTTATTTATTTATATTTTTTGCCACTAGTTTTAGTGAGGATACATAATCAGAGAGAATTAATGTGTTTCCCTTGTCAATGTTTCTATAAACTTTATCTATTATGTGTTTTTTTTCAAAAGAGACACCTTTTGTGCTGTGTCAGCCACTGTAGCTGTCCTATGCTCTTTGAAAGGGTAGGGGGCAGTGGTAGACCGGAAAGTTAGTTGCAATTCACAACCCTCACCACTAGAAGCCACTAAATCTTACACACTGGACCTTCAATATGTCATGAAAGATCCAGTGACACAACAAAGCTCTTTAGGGTTGATCACAGAGAGGTCAGCAGGACTGCAGGTGAAAATTATTCTCTTTGTACATTTCTCTTTTTTATTACTGTAATGGATTAGTTTAGTCTCATTACTATGCCAAATGAAAAACAAAGAATACTCAATTTATTGTGATACAAAAATGGATGGATGCGTTTGTACTAAATGATCAATAATGGTCAATTAGTCAACAACTAACTTTATCCTTTAGTAGTAAAGTGGCCAATGACATAGGCTCCATAGATGGTGGCTAATGTGATTCCAGTGGGAGCCGAAATCTGATATGCCCCTGGTGTCCCCCCCCCCCCCAACCGGCGCCGCCCCTGTCTCGCGCGTGTACTTCCTCGTTATTATTGTCCGACCCGTTTTGTCGTTACTACGGTGACTGGTCAGCACCGTCACCGGTTGGCGGAGCCGCTTTGACGTCACAGTGATATCGGGAATTCCTCTCCCCGCAGGGCTCTGTGTGACCGAAGCCTCAGACACTGCTGGGAGGTAGCGGCACGCACTGTATACACGTGAGCCCGTCACTGTGTTTCTTGTTTACACCTGCGCCCCGGTCCGCTGCTGCTGGAGGCGATGTGTCTTTATGGTTGTGGGAAAGAAGTTTAGGTTTGAATTGCACAGCTTAGAAAAAGAGACAACATGGGCAACTGCATCTTTATCTGCATTTCCTGCTCATAAACACAAGATCTGAGATCTGTGCTGCTGCTAAGGTGACCCGAGCAAGGCCGACTTGAATGTAAGTGTGTTGTGTATGAAAACTTAAGTGAGCTCTTATACTACAGCACTACAACACCGTTGCTAATGATAGTAACTTAGTAGTATAGCATTTGTGTCATGATGATGAGACAAATTGAAAGTTATTTTGATAAAGTAAACTAATCAGGCAATTATCCAATATTTCTAGAAAATTTTTTTTGAAAATGTTTAAAGTAGTATTTGTCAATTAAAGTGATGCACAAGTAGTCTCTTGATTTATAAAACAACCTTAGAATCAGTTTTTCTTTGTACACATGCAAGGAATTTGACATTCAGATAAATATAAGGACAACAGCTGATAGGTAGGTGAAAAGAAACAGAACTATTACATACATACATGTAGGTAATAAAGTAGGTGTGTGTAAATGCAATTATCGCCAACATATTATGTCAGTATATAAGTCAAGTGTTTATGTAAACAAATAGTGCAAAGAAATAAATATTAAATGGATGTTAAAGACCGAAATGGTGGGAAATACTTATGATCAATTACTTTTTTTGGTCACAGAGGCCTAAATTTAACCTCTGTATTGATTATCTTCTCTCTTTATCCTTATTTCTTTGGGAAACACTGATACAATACACTGATGTTGGCTAAAAATATGGGGAAAACAAAGCATCTTTGACATTTACTTAAGTTTACCTTTGCTAATATGCGTCAGTTCTTTGTTCACCATAACTGTGTTTATTAACTTTATCTGCCCTAAGTGCTAGTTTTGTTTTCTTTGTCTTTGTCCTGTATCAGTTGGCATATAAGCTTTTTTTCTATGGCTGCCTTGTAGAGTCCACAGCAGTTATCAACTATGCACCTGTTGTTGACATTTTGTTGAATCAATCATAAACCTGACCAGCAGGTTAAATTAGCCTAGTAGTCGGTTTTAAAGGTGACCTATTATGCTTTTCCTTATTGTCTGTCATATATATATTATTACAATATCAGATGTTCGTACTAAACGAATAATGAGGTAAACATATGTAGGTATGTATGTAAGTTATTCCTGTGAGCAAAAAGCCCTGAATTCAGACTGCTCTGAATACTAGGTTTCCAAAAAAATTCTGCTCTAGCGGTGTTACCATCAAAACTCCCCTGGTGCTTGAGCTTCTAGTCCGGGCAGAGTCAGCTAAGCTAATAGGGCCACTAGATAATGGCAGCTAATTTTACAGGTAGCAGTTACTTTAAAACTATCTGTCAATCTAGAAACTCCATAAAATATGATCCACTTTCACAAAATCAGCGAATAAAGTTTTGAAAAGTGTTTTTGTACAGTAATCAATGAGGCCCCAAGCAGCTCTTGGATTGCAGGGCTACCTCTGTAAAGTTCACAGCCATATGACAAACCTCACATGATATAGGCAATGAGGGCTGCAGAAGGAAACACAAAACCTCTTTTCATGCTTTTTCTCAATGCCAGCATTTGGCTTCCATCACACTCTTACATATACAGTTACTATTTGTTGGAGTGTATTTCTCAGCAGAACCTATTGTATCAGATTCTGTTACTCTGTGACTCTGTTTGTGCTCCCACTGGGCCGTCTGTATTGAATCTCATTATTGACCACATTCTCTGGACAGTCAATCTGCACCCCACGCAGAGTCTGGCTGACCTTGTCACGGAGCTTTGCCATAGAAGGGATCAGTGACAGTGTACGAACGTACTGGCAGCTCAGATGTCTGCTCTCAAGCTCCTGGGGCTGCTGGCAGGTCGTCTTTAAATAGATAAGCACTTTAGTTGTATGCCAGAGAGGCACCATGACCTCTGAACAAGGTGATCTCTGAAGTCTATCTGCGTCCTCAGAGGGTGATTCAGCAAAACACAGCTTTTCTCTGATAGTTCTCTGGGTTAAAGGAAGACAGCAAAGCCTGATTGCTGTGTTTTATTCTTTCAGTTCCCTCTGAGAATTTAGCTAAAATGTCAGCTTGGAAGTGTTTTTTATCGGCATCTCAGAAAAAATAAAACTGTAGTGTACTGTATCACCAACAGATTGTTGCAACTGTGTGAAGATGTTTAATGTTTTCAGTAGAGCTTAAATAATTAATCAGTTAGTCAGTTGACAGAGAATTCATCTATAACAATTCTGATAACAGAATAATTGTTTTAAATTTTTCCCAAGTAAAACAGGCATCCAGATCTGCACAAGATTTGCTACAAGAGCTACCTGTCTTGTATACTAGTAAAATTAATACCTTTGCGTTTTAGACTGTAGGTCAGACAAAACAAACATTTTGAATATATTAGCTTGAACCCCTTTGAAATGGTGAAGGGATTTTACACTATTTTCTGAAAATGTATAGACCAAATAAATTGCTGATTAATCAAAAAATAATAAACAGATTCATCAATAATGAAAATGATTATTAGTTGCGTCTTTGATTGCGTCAAATGAAATCTCTGATGAAGTCAAACGTAATCAGTTCAGACCTTTTTTCATTGTTCAAAGACAAGTTGGAGTTTTTATCTGCAGCGGCGATATCAGGTACCAATGGGTAAATATCTGTAGTTGTATATTTACAGGATGTTGTCACAAGTCTTATCTGAAAGTGTATTTGTGCTTAATGTAGTCTTGCTGTTTTCTCCCCAGAGGGTCCGCCATGTTCCCTGATGCCTTAGAAGCAGTTGAGCGGGTGGAGGGCCTGCCACTCTCCTCCCCGCAACCACTACCAGAGCTAGAGGAAGAGGAAGCAGAGGCATCCCTGGAGAGGGGGCCAAAGAGACAAGGCCGCTACCGGCAAAGCCTGCAGCTTTTAAAGCCCTTCAGGATAACTCACAAGTAAACAAAATTGTATTTAAGTACATGTGGCGACTCTCTGACAGTGAGCCAGATAAAGGTGGACATAAAGACATGCAGACAGTTTTAGGCTGGCACACTGACAGGCAGATAGCCATTTAAAGACATACATAGACACAGAAATTCACATTTGTTGTGTTTACTGCCTGATGTGCTGACTGTTGGGGAGAAGCAGGAGGCCATGATAAGGGGTGGGAACTTATCCCCAAGCGACAGACAGCACAGTGTTTAAACGCATGCCAGCTGATAAACTGCCCCTAAAGTTTTTTTTTTTTTTTTTTGCTGCTCTCAGATTTCTGTGAAGAGCGTGCAAATTACTGTTCAAACACTGCGGGCATGACTCACCTTTCATTTACTCTGGCAAGCAAAGGCGCCGCTTCTTTCTTTGTGACCAGTGTTGGGCCTGTTACCCCAATGTAGCACCTCTGTGCATGCTCGCACTTTTAGACATCTCACCCACTTCCACATCATCTTCTCTATTCCAGGCACCAGCACCCAGTCGATAATGCCGGCCTCTTCTCATTTATGACTGTGCACTGGCTCTCCCCACTGGCACTGAAGGCCTACAAGGCGTCCAGCTTGTCTATAGAGGATGTGTGGGGACTGTCTTGCCATGAAGCCTCTGAAATCAACTGCCAAAGGTGAGGTAACTGTGTGAGGTTTGCCTGATGAAAGTGACCTGCGGTGTTCGGAAAACTCTTATTTAATGCTTAAACACAGTATTCCTAGAAAACTGAAGGTGGGATAAGACATAAAATGAGAAGGATTTGTCTAAAGGTGAG